AAAAGAGAGAAAAGGCGATAGACAAAACGTGAGGCTTTTCACTGAGTCGATATTGTAAGGATACAGTAATAGGAAAAATAGTCGTTAAGAGGTCGGAGAGTATCAATCGTCCCCCCCCCACCACACACACACCGGCCTTTAAAATATTATAATTATTTTTCTATCTAGTTGAGAAAATTTACTGTTTAACTATTTGGAAACGCCGCGTCGATGCAATGTTAAATCGCGCGCAAAACGGAATCGACAAACTGGTTTCAAATTCCAACTGAATTAGTTGGCGTTCCCATCACGCTAATGCACTTGTCAATAGTACAAACCAGGGATCACTCCCTATAGCATGTACCAGATTAATAATTGTCCCGAGCGAATAACCCCTGTAGATCTTAGTGAGGACCATCTATCTTCGAACATGATGGATCAAAGTTGAAGAATGACAAAGAACTGCACTAAATAACAGAAACCATATCACTTGAAGACTACCAACAGCAGCAACAACTAAAATAGATAGCACATGTAACTCAAAGAGAAAATAATGATATCTGTCTATATTTCTGATTATGAGGTATATGTACATCACTGTTAAATCCTCAAGGACACATGGTACAGTGGATAAAGGTGTTGGTTAGATCAAGTGACAGGACCCAAAGAGTGTGAGTTCAATACCCAGTTAAGGCAGTGGAGAACTTTGAGTGGGGAATTAACTAATTAATTAAGGAGATAACTGATAACTGACATCCATTAAACATGGCACGTAGAACTAGAACAGTCTACCCCAGTGAGCGAAATAAAAGGTTCAATTCGACATTCCAACCACCGGCTGAAAATGTTGTAATAAATATGGTGACAAAGATGAGGACAATAGTCCGAATAATGTAAATATTGAAAATAATAATAATATCAAGATTTTAGAAGTTCCACACTGCTTCAAGTAAAATGTTAAGAAGGAAGCTAGCAGCAATACTGGAAAGAGAGAACTTATTTAGCTATTTATATCATGCGTTGCTTTCCTTTGTCTCTCTTTCCCTCTATTCGACCTGTGAGTATCAGATTCTCCAAGTCCTCTTTTCTCGTTACGTGTCCCAGAAATTTCAGCTGCGTCTTCCTGATGTTATGTATAAGCTTGTTTGCATCCTCTCTAAAACCTCATCGTTGCGCACACGCTCGGTCCATGATATCCTTATCATCCTTCTGTAGAACAATACCCTCGCCGCCTCGAGTCACATCACCTTATCAGGAGACTTTATTGTAAGATTGAATTGAATTTTAGAAATAAAGAAGATTAGATGTAAATCTGTCCTCCTTTCCGGCAGCGAATGTTGGACGGTCTCCTCAAAGATGAAGAAGCGGCGAAGGTATGGTTCTACAGAAGGATGTTAAGGATACCATGGACCGAAAATGTGAGCAACGGTTTTGGAGAGGATGCAAACAAAGAGGAAGCTTATACATAACATCAGGAAGAGGCAGCTGAAATTTCTGGGACACGTAATGAGAAAGTAGGGCTTGGAGAATCTGATACTCACAGGACGGATAGCGGGCTTAAGCAAGTGAATGACAGAGTATGGCCTGGGGGAAGTAGCAAAAGGACAAAACTTATTGAGAGCTTACAAGGGATATGGGCAAGTGGAGAGCCATCATCGCCTATATCCTAAAGAGACATGACACATGAAATGAAGATGTAAATACTGTAAAAGTCTGAGTAAGAATCAATCAAGGTTTAATTTTGTTTATGACTATTAATATCTGTGATGCCCAATTTTCCACTGCCTACCTCGACAGGGTTTAAAAACGTTTATGTTTTCTTATATGACGTTCATTATTTTCCACCCTACAACCACTTTCCTCACAGACGCAACATTGCAAGCTTACCTCCATTTCTATGGAAAATATTCTGGCGAACTACAAACTCTAGTTATATTGATCGGTTGGGCCTCGGAGGAGAAACCATTAACAACTAGCCTCGGGGAATTTAAAAAAAAATGAAAGTAAAACTAATTACGTATATAAACATGGCCTATCATCAAATGTTAATTGGTAGTTTCGGACTAAAAATGCTATCTTCTCAAAAGACGCCAGAAGTGAACCTTTTATAAGCATGGTAAAATATAGAAGATTCCGATTTCACGATTTAGAGAGAAAGTACTGTTAGTATTGTAAATGAAGTATGGGGAAGAATTCAAGTATAACTAGAAGGCGCCATAATGGTAAATTCGAAAGGCTATCCAACGTATATACTCGATGAAGGCATACCCCAAATATGTAATAAATTTGTTCAGCTTTCAACAGGATGGTGAGAGCTGTCATACTTCGTAGTCGACTATAAATTATTTAAAAGAAAAGGGGCGTAGTATATTTTGAAAATTGGCCAAACCAAATACCTGACTTGAATATTATAGGAGATTGTTGGAATAGACTAAAGAGCAAAGTTCCCAGAGAATATTGATCAGTTCTTTGAGATCCCAAAGACTGAGTGGGCAAATATTGATCGTTCTTTTATTTCGAATTTATATTATTTCTCACTACAGGAAAGACCTTTGACTATGTTAAGAAATAAAGAGTCAGTTTTGGTTGTTCTAAGGAATAAAGGGTCAATTTAGGCTATTTTAAGTAATAAAGGGTTACGTTTGGCTGTTTTAAGCAATAAAGGATCAATTTAGGATATTTTAAATAATAAAGATTCAAGTTTGGCTGTTTTACGGAATAAAGATTTAGGTTTGGCTATTTTAATTAAATAAATGTTAAAGTTAGGCGGGTTTAAGGAATAAAGGGTAAATTCTGAGTGATTTAAATAATAAATGGTCAATTTAGGATATTTTAAGTAATAAAGCTTCAAGTTTGGCGGAATAAAGACTTCGGTTTAGTTATTTTAAGTAAATAAATGGTAACGTTAGCCGGGTTTAGAGAATAAAGGATAAATTTTGAGTGAGCTAAATAATAAATGGTCCATTTAGACTATTTTAAGTAATAAAGGGTTACGTTTGGCTGTTTTAAGAAATTAAGGGTCCAGTTTAGCTGTTTTGAGTAATAACGTGCCAATTTAGGCTCTTTTAAAAAAATAAGGTGCACAGTTTGGCTATTTTAAGAAAAAAGAGCCAATTTCGGATAGTTTAAGTATTAAAGGGTCTCGTTCGGATGTTTTAACCAATAAAGGGTCAATTTAGGCTATAAAAGTTCAAGTTTGGCTGTTTTATGGATTAAAGGGTCAGATTTGGCTATTTTAAGTAAGGAAATGGTCAAGTGAGACGGGTTTATGAAATAAAGGCTAAAGATTGAGTGTTTTAAAGAATAAATGGTCAATTTAGTCTATTTTAAGTAATAACGCGTCAAGTTGGGCTGTTTTAATTAATAAATGTTCATGTATGAAGTATGAAGTGATTTTTATAATTGTAGTTTCGTTTATTTTTTTAAATCTGCTTTATTTTATTATTTTACTTTTCACGAATTAAATACATATCTGTTAATGCGCGCGTAAAATATTTACTGGTTAAAATGTTTGTAGTTTTGTTAAAATCGCTCTGACTTCTATATTCAAAATATATAGAAAATGTCCAAGCTTAATATGTTTTTCTTTTTTATATGACCTTCATCACCTGTTAACAATTTGATTAAATACATTTTAAATATAATATTAATTTAATATAAACAGTATTTATATATTAAATATATGTTAGCTTGAGTCAAGAAAAAAGGATACATTTTTGTTTATCAAATTTACTCCTAAAATAATAAGGAATAATCAAATTCTATTCAATTATATATTCACTATTATGTGAAAAGACTCATCAGCCAACTTTTTTTTATACTTTATACTTAAGCAACGTCGACCCTGGTTAGTACCTAAATGGGAGTGCCAGATGCAGTACGCTTGAATGTGCCTGTGTTGTAATGAATAACGATTTGGAATGAAACATTGGAAAGCCGTGTTCCAATTCCAGTCGGGTTCGTTGGATTCACTTATCCGCAAATGACTTTGGGAAACGTTATAAATCCAACTCTCCCCGCCCTAAGTTATATGTTATTTAGTAGGACTTACAAGAGTAAATCATTATTATCTAGAAAAAAATCTTATAATTTAAAAATAAAAAAAAATATCTGGCTTTAAATAATCTACAAAAGGTTGATAAACCGTAAAAACACAAATCGATCAATCGATACATTTTGAGTAAAAATCCGAGAGGTTTTGACGTGGAAAAGCGTTTGGGGACAACCCTGAATCTGGTTTTCTTCACAAAAACGAATTTGGCTAGTGCAAGGTCATGTGACTATGGCGAGCGACAGTAGAACAGACCAACCAATGACAAAAAATGTTTTCCTGTGTTATTCATACTGCATGCAAACTCTTGTCGTCAAGGAGGAGAGCACCAATTTCCTATTCATCCTCCGTGTACGCTGCTATTACCGTGCAAACTATGATAAGTTAGTGTACTGTCAGTTATAGATAGTAAATAGAATGATACGTCCCTCATTACAAGTGATTCTGACAAAAAATTACTTATGGGTAAACAGCAATTAAATTAGAATTGAAAGTTGTTTTTTTTGTTATAATAATAATAATAATAATAATAATTGTTGTTCGGCAGTTATAAAAAAAAAAAAAAAAACGGATTTATATAGGGGTCACATAATTTTGCTTACGTGGTGTACTGATAACATCTCTATCCGACCAAGTATCCAAAATTTGGGAAAATGTGCAGTCATAATTTGTTTGGTGATGCTTGTGAAGATAACCTGCCATTAATTTTCCGTATTTACTTAGATATACAGGGTGTAATGGGTAAATTGTCGACATTTAATATATTTAATTTCGCGCATGCGCGTTGTTTGTTTCCGAGTTTGTCGATTGCACAGTATAGTAGGGTCAGTTGGGCACCGTTTTTAAAAAAAAATGGGAAGCATGATGCAATTCACTCCACCCGAAAAGTGGAAACGGCATGCTGTACTGCTTGTCACTGGCGCCAGAAGCTCCAATAAGAACATTTCACTATGTTTGGCTGTCAATCTGA